ATCTTGATCAAATATTACTCCGAGGTTTCTTACGGTAGTGCTAGAGGCCAGAGCAATGCCATCTAGAGAAACTATGTCATCAGATAAAGAGTCTCTGAGTTGTTTGGGGCCAAGAACAATAACTTCAGTTTTGTCTGAATTTAACATCAGGAAATTGGTGCTCATCCAATTTTTTATGTCTTTAAGGCAGTTATGGAGTTTAGTTAATTGATTACTTTCTTCTGGCTTCATCGATAAATACAACTGTGTATCATCCGCATAACAATGGAAATTTATAGAGTGATTTCTAATGATGTTACCTAAAGGAAGCATATATAGAGTAAATAGGATTGGTCCGAGCACAGAACCTTGCGGAACTCCAAAACAAACTTTGGTACGTAAGGATGATTCATTACGAACGTCAACAAATTGAAAACGATCAGATAAATAAGATTTAAACCAGCTTAGTGCTGAACCTTTTAGGCCAATTAAGTGATCCAGTCTCTGCAGTAGAATTTGATGGTCAATTGTGTCAAACGCCGCACTAAGATCTAATAAAACAAGAACAGAGACGAGTCCTTTGTCTGAAGCAATCAGAAGGTCATTTGTAATTTTAACTAGAGCTGTCTCAGTGCTATGATGCACTCTAAATCCTGACTGAAATTCCTCAAATAAATTATTATCCTGGAGAAAATCACACAGCTGGTCTGCGACTACTTTCTCAAGGATCTTTGACATAAAGGGAAGATTAGATATTGGTCTATAGTTGGCTAACACCTCTGGATCCAGGGTGGGCTTTTTTAGGAGAGGTTTAATTACAGCTACCTTAAAAGACTGTGGTACATAGCCTGTTAATAGGGATATATTGATCATATCTAATATATGAGTGTTAACTAAAGGAAAGACCTCCTTAAGTAGCCTAGTTGGGATGGGGTCTAAGAGACACGTTGATGATTTAGATGAAGAAATCACTGCGGTCAATTCTTGAAGAGAAATTGGGGAGAAGCAATCTAAATATATATTAGATTCTACAGCTGTGTTTGAGGTTAGATAGGTAGGCCTACCATCTGAGGGCAGGAGGTCATGAATTTTGCCTCTAATAGTTAGAATTTTGTCATTAAAAAAGCTCATAAAATCATTACTGCTAAGGGCTAAAGGAATACAAGGCTCAATAGAGCTTTGACTCTCAGTCAGCCTGGCTACAGTGCTGAAAAGAAACCTGGGGTTGTTCTTGTTTTCTTCTATTAATGCTGAGTAATAGTTTGCTCTGGCATTGCGGAGGCCCCTCTTATAAGTTTTGAGACTGTCTGTCCAGATTAAACGAGATTCTTCCAGTTTGGTTAATCGCCAATTCCTTTCAAATTTTCGCGATATTTGTTTTAACCTACGGGTTTGAGAGTTATACCAAGGAGCAAACTTTCTTTGCTTTGTTAACTTCTTTTTAAGAGGAGCTACAGAGTCGAGCGTTGTTCGCAGCGAGCCTACGGCGCTATCAACAAAATGATCAATTTGGGAGAGGTTAAAGTCGGCACGGGAAACCTCTGTTACTGAAGGTATTGGTATTGAATTTAACGACGAAGTAATCTTTTCCTTAAATTTTGTGACAGCACTATCTGATAAACATCTAGTATAGTAACTGTTGCTGAGTGGCGTGTAATCGAGTAAAAAGAAATCAAAAGTAATCAGATAATGATCTGATAGCAAGGGATTCTGTGGAAAGACTTTTAGGTTATCAATTTCAATTCCATACGTCAGAACTAGATCGAGGGTATGGTTAAAACAGTGAGTGGGTTCATGTACACCCTGACTGAAGCCAATGGAGTCTATTAATGAGATAAACGCGGTAGCCAGGGAGTCATTATCAACGTCGACATGAATGTTAAAATCGCCTACAATAATAACTTTATCTGATTTAAGAACTAAACTGGATAAAAACTCTGAGAATTCAGATACAAATTCAGAATACGGGCCAGGAGCACGGTACACTATAACAAATAAAAGTGGCTGCGAGGTTTTCCAGGTCGGATGTAAAAGACTAAGAACGAGGCTTTCAAATGAATTATAATCTAGTTTAGGTTTAGGGCTGATTAACAGACTAGAGTTAAAAATGGCTGCAACTCCCCCTCCTCGGCCGCTGCCTCGAGGAATGTGGGTATTATTATGACTGGGAGGAGTGGACTCATTTAGACTAACATATTCATCTTGACACAGCCAGGTTTCAGTGAGACTGAGTAAATCAATATGATTATCTGATATTAATTCGTTTACTAACACTGCTTTAGACGATAGAGACCTGATATTTAACAGTCCACATTTAATTCTCCTGTTTTGTCTTTCTGTCACAGAAGAGGTTTTAATTTTTATGAGGTTGTTATGCACAACTCCTCTTTGTTTAATTTTAGATTTAAATAATTTAGGTGGTCGGGGGACAGACACCGTTTGTATAAAACTATGGCTGGGTAACTGAGCTAGAAGCTCAGAGAGGCGTTTAGGACTGCAACTCTGAGTCCTGGTCTCAACTCTGGGTTGTCAGGGATTTAAATTACTAATAAAGTCTGCCAGGTTCCTAGAAATGAGAGCAGCTCCATCCAAAGTGGGATGAATGCCGTCTCTCCTAATAAGACCAGGTTTTCCCCAGAAAGTTTGCCAATTATTAAAGAAACCCACATCGTTTGCTGGACACCATCTGGACAGCCAGTGATTAAATGATGACATGCAGCTAAACATGTCATCAGTGGTCAGATTTGGGAGGGGTCCAGAGAAAACTATGGAGTCCGACATCGTTTTTGCATATTCACACACCGAGGCAATATTAATTTTAGTGACCTCCGATTGGCGTAACCGGGTGTCATTGCCGCCGACGTGAATAACAATCTTACTGAATCTATGTTTAGCCTTAGCCAGCCATAAGGAACTGGACTAAATAAATGTTACTGTGCGTTAAAAAATAAATATGAAAAAAAGTTACTATACGTTTAAATAAATACAATAAATAAAAAAATATTTTAAAAATATTAGTCACTTTAAATAATAATAATAAATAGTATTTAAAAGCTTATGTTTGTTAAAAAACAAAACAAAAAAACTAATTAATATATATGATATTGTGAAATACAAACAATTAATGTTATTACTTAGTTTATGGAATTTAATTTCTTATTGTTTTGTTTTAGATAGACACTTCTTTTGTGTAAATATGTTCGATAAATTAAAAAAAGTTCAGTTTTATGTATAATTTTACATTGAGTCAAAAAATATATTTAGAAAAGAAATTTACAAAATATAAACATTCAGCAAGTTAATTTTTAAACTCCACAATAATACTACATATTATTCTATTAATGCAACAGCTGGCATGTTTTTGTATCAAACTAAATAAAAATTCACATGAAAGTAAACTTTCTTGTTGAATTCATTCATTCATCTGATCATAAAAAAATAAAATCATCAGAAACTTTTTGAAAAACATGTAAAAATGTTTTATTGAAGCCTTTGACCTTCATTTATTCATTCATTCATATTCAATATGAATAAAAAGTTTCTGTAGCACGTCAGGATTACTAACACCAAGATAAACATCAGTACTTCCTACACTAATACCTACATAAGGCCACTAGGAATCATGGGACTGATGGGGCAGTTTAACCCCGGCGCATCATGGGAAGACTAATGGTGTAAATAAACAAGCAAACAAAAAACTAAGGAACATTAAAACAGACGGAAGAAATTTTGAATGAGAACTTGTTGAAAGTTTTTTTTCACAGTTTGTTTGTTATAGCGCTTCCTTCCTGACCTCACTGCGGCCACGCCCCCTTGTTTCCCAGAAGGCAGAGTCACAGTGAGGTCAGAGATGATAAATTAAAAATAAATAATCATTAAATATAAATAAAGAGGAGGACGGAGAGCTGCGATTGGTTCCTTCAAACCTCCAACAGATGAAACAATCTGTTGGTTCTGAACGAGAGAACCTTTGAAACATTCCCGAGTCCCGTCGTGGGATCAGGACGATCACTGAAACGGTCAATCTGATGAGAATGTTAAGAACGTCTTTGTACTGAGTTTTTATTTGCCTGAAGAACATGTTCTACCAACAAGGTTGCGTATTCTAGGGTAGCGAAGGAACAATCCACCCTACATACCCTCCGATTGGCCAGTACTTGTTGGCTCTGTTTGCATGATTGTTTAGGTTTAGGTTTAGGGTAAGAAGGTCAGGGTATGAACGTCGGGGTAAGGTCAGGGTATGAACGTCAGGGTAAGAACGTCAGGATAAGAACGTCAGGGTATGAAGGTCAGGGTAAGAAGGTCAGGGTAAAAACGTCAGGGTAAGAAGGTCAGGGTAAGAAGGTCAGGGTAAAAACGTCAGGGTAAGAAGGTCAGGGTAAGAAGGTCAGGGTAAAAACGTCAGGGTATGAAGGTCAGGGTGTGAACAGCAGGGTATGAACAGCAGGGTAAGAAGGTCAGGGTAAGAAGGTCAGGGTATGAAGGTCAGGGTAAGAAGGTCAGGGTAAGAAGGTCAGGGTGTGAAGGTCAGGGTAAGAAGGTCAGGGTAAGAAGGTCAGGGTAAGAACGTCAGGGTAAGAAGGTCAGGGTAAGAAGGTCAGGGTAAAAACGTCAGGGTATGAAGGTCAGGGTGTGAACAGCAGGGTATGAACAGCAGGGTAAGAAGGTCAGGGTAAGAAGGTCAGGGTATGAAGGTCAGGGTAAGAAGGTCAGGGTAAGAAGGTCAGGGTGTGAAGGTCAGGGTAAGAAGGTCAGGGTAAGAAGGTCAGGGTAAGAAGGTCAGGGTAAGAAGGTCAGGGTAAGAAGGTCAGGGTAAGAAGGTCAGGGTAACAACGTTAGGGTAAGCAAATCAGAGGCAGAGTAAGGCGAACTATTCCTTCAATACCCTTGGATTGGCAAATTCATGAGCGTTTCACAGTGACTCATATTAGATCTAAGAACTCTACCGACCTTTAACCCCTCTCGTAGAACTCATTCCAGTAACACGTTCCTGAACACGGAACATGTTCCAGAGTCATTGATACATTCATGGATCATGTTTTATTAGCTTATAGTAACACTGTCTGGGTGTAACGGAAACACGACACATTTTCCATCTGGAACACATTCTCGTCTCTGATTGGCCACGCATTCAGTCCCGGGCTGCGTCCTGTCGGCTGATTGGCTGGCCCTTTTGGAAGGCGGAGTGGAAAAGGTTCATGAGGTCGTAGAAGCGCCGGCTCACCTGCAGGAAACAGGAAGCAGCCATTAATATTTACAGAGGAAGAAGAGCTGAGAGCATACACTGACGCTGAGGCCTCGCCCTCCTCTCACCTGTTGGGCAGTCTTGTTTCCCAGTTGGGTGGAGACCTGTCTGAAGGTTTTCTGATTGGCTCCTCTCTGCTGACAGGCTGTCAGGATGGCGCGGTCTGCCTCGCTGAAACAGGAAGAGCTCATCATTAAACTCACATTGTGGTAACGTAAAAAGTAACGTTTTGGTGTTCTTGAGGACGCACATTCACCAGATTGAGACACAAGGTCACATTGACCTTTGTTGACTAAATTCAATGAGGTTACCCATGACTCCAAGCGGAGGTTTGTGTGTTAGAGTGTGTTCATGTGTGTCCTGACCGTGTCCAGACGATGACCTTCTCTCCACTCGAGGTCATGGAGATGTTTTTGGCACAGACGGGTCGCTCCAACTCATCAGATGCCTCAGCTCTCTTCCTGTTCCCGTCAGGAGGATTCTGGGTGATGCAGTCCCTCTCTATGGTCTTTGGGCCAGTTGCTACTGGTGACGACTGGCCGTGAAGCTGCTTGAAGAATTCCCAGAATTCCTCCTGCAGGTCAGAGTGGCGTCTGAGCAGAGAGGAGATCTGAGAGGACAGAGATCAATAACTTTTCCCCCAATGTTTTAATACAAAATTTTCAGACATTTTATCGACATTTATTAAGACATTTTATTATTTTTCAAATGTTCAGTGTTTGACTTTGCAAAACTTTATTTACAAGTTTTGTTTTTTTATTTTAAGATTTTTTTGGGGCATTTTCGCCTTTATAGATAAAAAAACAAAACAAGTTGTGAGTACCTGCTCCATGTCCTCAGGTGGAGGGGTGGAGCTTGCCTGCAGCACTGACACCACATGTTGGTAGAGGGAGGAGCCTTCTCCCAGGCTCCGCCCCAGTAGCCGCAGAAACCGCCGGCTGCGTTCAAACAGCTGCTGCTCCTCCAGCTGACAGAGACATCACAGAAGAAGAGGAGGAGTTAACACAGGCTGGGTGTGTACCTGAGCACACTGTGAGGTAACAGTGATGTAACAGTGTCACCCACCAGCCCACAGCGGTGGGCCTGTCCTCGACTCAGGAAGGCAGCGAAGTCTCTGGTCAGCTGAGGCCACGGCTGCAGGACACACTTCAGTCCGTTGTACAGAACCTCTGCCGCTGCCGCCGAGGACCGATCCAACAGCTGCAGCAGCTGTTCAGAGACGCCTGGGGACACCTGCACCGCATCACACACCTGCACAGGAAACAGGAAGAACAAACACACACCTGGTTAGGTGGTAACTGATGTGTGTGATGTGTCTATCATCAGTGATGAACTTACTCTGAGCAGGTAATCCTGAGCGAACGCCTCGTCCTCACATTTCCTCTGACCTTCATCATCCTCTGAGGACTCCTCCTCCTGTGCGCATGCACACACCCACACACACACACACACACACACACACACACAAGTGTGTTACACAAGTTAACCTCATTTATGTTACACCTGTGTGTGAAACCTGCTCAATTAATATCCAAAATCTTAAAAAGGATAGTGCACCCAAAAATGAAAATTCATCCATTATCTACTCACCCATATGCCGATGGAGGCCCTGGTGAAGTTTTAGAGTCCTCACATCACTTGTGGAGATCGGCGGGGGGAGTAGCTAGCACACCTAATGGCAGACGGCGCCCCAGACTAACGTCCAAGAACACAAAATTGAATCCACAAAGTATCTCCATACTGCTCATCTGTAGTGATCCAAGTGTGCTGCAGCCCGACATAAAAAGTTGTTTCAGTAAACATCATATGAACTCTGTTTTTAGCCTCACTGTAGCCTGTAGCTCTGACTGC